TTTTGATGTGATAATTTCATTTATTACTGAAGGCATCAACAAACAAATCAAAATTCTTTATACCTGTCAACTGTTAACAAACATCCAAGATATCAAAATCTATTATTTCAATATCAATAGGGAAGCTATCCGCAGACATACTGAATATACTTTATGTATAACGTGCAAGCACTAATCCAAATATTACGCTTTAATGTACTTTAATCTTAGGCATTTATTGACCCTTCTTGCAATTCCAAAAATTTGTGTTAGTGTATCACCTGAGAAACGAATATTACATTAGAGTTCAAATTTTTCAAACACTTCAATTATTATTGGAATAATCTAGGGTTTCTCCGAGGTGAGTTTTGAAAAAGTCCAGCATTATCATTTTATTCATTTCTGATTAAAGAAATATCTTCACACATATATACATGCAATTTCATTGGACTATAGATTGAGACATCAACAAGCACCAGAATAATAGTAGCTTTTAAACGCTGTCAAAGTCATTCTCCACTAGCAAAGGAGCTAAACATTTACTATTAAATCACGGGTTTTGTTTAGCAATAAATTTTTCCATTAAAATTTGACAATAAGACTTGCTGTAGCTGATCTAGGTTAAACCATCAGTGGTTGATGGCGCATGAAAAGTAGCTAAGCTTATTTCTCGCCTTATTTCTTATGAAGTCGTTAGCTTTAATGTGTAAAAATTAGTTACTTTGCTAGATCGTCAATCACCTTTTTGCGCCATTTTATGTATTAGATTTCATATGATAGGCATTATAGCTTTTCCCACCATAACTAATAATGTAACAAAACGGGTACGACATCAAAATTATTTTCGGTTTTACCTCTTTATGAATGAAATTCGTTTTGAGATTTTAAGTCAGTAAGTTGCATAATCGTTTTGACATAATGTATGTGTATAATAATCTCTCAATTACAATGTATACAAGCAATAATTGAATAAGTTATTAAATTTATATATCGGGAACACACGAGTTTCATATAGAACGTTTGGGGCAATTAAAGACTATATAATCATCATTTATACGAATTGTAGAAACATTAAATTATCATATTCGGTTGTCCCTGCATTTGTAAGACGGAGACAACATATGCGGGTACGACGTCCTCTTAATAAATATTTTTAAATATTTTTTTTGATCAAAAAATTTGATAGATTTAATACTAGTTTCTTTAAATGTTATTTTTACAGTAGTTAAACATAATATCAAAAATATTTTGACATATTATCTTTTATAAACGTATTAATTTAATACTGTGATGAAATTAGTCTATTTATAAAATATTATAAGTATTAATTTGTAAACTACATTTTTAATTCTAATATTTAAAACTTGAAAATTTAATTCATAAAACCAGTGCATTATACATTAGTTCAAAAATACATAGTTTGACATATTTATTTGTTATAACTTACAAGTGTTTCGTTTCATTTTTCGATGAAATTGGATATTCAAAGTAATATTTGTACTTAAACGATGTTAGCTATTTTATTGTAATTTAAAAAAATATATAACAACCGTAGTAGAAACTATATATAAACATTAAATTATTGCTGTAATATTATTATTTTCTATATACTGTAAAATTTTTAAAATATTTTAATCTGATTCCAAGGTATTTTACCACGAACTTATTCACACCATTCTGTACGATATGTCGATATTAACTTAAAAGTCGGGTTCGAAACTTTAGGACTAAACATTTTTTAAATATATGCTTCGAAAGTATGTAAAATATGCGCTATAATATGCCTCAAAAAATGTAAAATATTTATTATAATATACTTTACGATGATTTAAATATCCAAATAATAAATGCATTACAAATTTTTAAACATAATTCTATGTTAGAAATACCTTTGTTATTTATTAACATAGATACATTTTTATTAAAAGAATATTTTTGTTTGAATTCGTATGTTTTTTTCATCTTTAAGTATTGTTTATTACATTATTTTTTTTATGCTTTGGACATATAATGTTTAATAAAAGGTTACTTATGTTTTTCTTAGAGCAATTAAAAAAATGTAACATTCTCTAATCAAAAATTTATTTTAGGTTAACTTAGTACGTTATTGTATATTATGTAATGCTAAAAGTTTAATTATTGTCATATAGTAAGGTATAGTATTTATCACATTAATAGTTTGTTACATAGATAATAGGTACTCATAACTCATAAGTGATAAATAATAATAATAATCCTTTATTAAATGTTATCATTTATATTAATTGTGTGCATATCTATGGCATATATGTAAAATTATATGGATTTTAAGAATAAATAAATAGCGATAAAGAATTAACATTTTCGGAAAAATAGGTACTACATTAATAATTTCCTTGTATTGATAAACTATGTCTAATAATTCAATTGATGGGAGTACGAAAAGTTTGCCTCTATTTATGTATTTGTGTATGAACATTAATGATTATTATTACGGTTATTCCTTATATGTACTTAATTCGGTTCACTTAGTTATATTTTATTTGTTTATGAACACAGATTGATTTTGACAATGCAATGTAATGAAATTCTAATACTGCTTATCAATTTAATGTAGGTGAGCTTATAATTTTATTATATTGTTTTGTATGTGTATTTTTGTAGCAAATATTGAAATCAATACCTATATCTAATTAAATTTGTTATATGTTAATCATATTATAATATTTTAATTCAAATATTTACATTAAATTTATTTTTTGGAAACTTTAAAAAAAGACTTATTAAATTATTTGATAATTTAAATTTCATAGTATAAGTATGTGCATACTTAAAGTTATTTTTTGATTTATTTTAGTATTATAAATAACAAATCTGATTGATATGATGAATTAATTTTTGTAAATGTTTTGATATACTTTTGAATAAAAATTGCATTGTTAGGTATTCCATGATATCGTTTTTTTAATTTAATATCGTTAATTTTTATTCATAATATAAATTATGTTTTAGAAACTAAAACAAAATGCTATTTCTTTTTCTGATTTTAAATTTTAATATTAGAAACGTTAAAAAACGTTTAAGTAAAAAGACATTTCTGAGCCTAGTATGTGACAATGTGACATAAACCAGCCCATAAATATTTGTAAGACACGTGTACTCTGGGAGGTTTAATGTATGCGCGAATACAGAATAACGTAGTGCAGTTCAACATTTAATATGTCTTATAGTTTTTTCTCGACCATTATAATAGTTACTAGTAAAATTAAATTCCAAGATTTATCATTTTGCCAAATTAATAAAAAATAGTCATAATACCAACAGTAAATCAAAAATAAGATTACCAAACTTGAAATGAATAGTTATTTATTTTTATTTAAATATTATAACTGTTAATTTATTAACACTAAAGAGAATTTATTTATTTAACATAATGTAGCATAATTACTTGTAATTGTTACGAAAGCTTATCGTATTTTTATTACGATAAAGGTCAATAGTAAATTCCATAAGAATTACGTATGTATAATTATATGAAAATTAATAACACAATCTCGTATAGATGAATGTGCAATTATAGATATTTATATCAAGTTTGTCATTTAATTTTGCCTTGTCATTTTGAACATGGATTCATTTGTTTGTAATTGAAAGTGTATCGGTATAGTCGACCTTAGGATAATGAACAAAATATTAGTTGACTGCTGACGACTAAATAAAATTATGCTTTTTTTATTGGTGCAATATTTATAGATTAGTAAATAGTAACCCTATTAAATACCTGGCTTTGAATTATTATTACTCCTAGTATAGTTATTAAAAAAAAGTCACTAGCTACATATCTTGGTGAAGATGTGATTTTATTGTTACTAAAAAAAAAAAAAAAAATCAATGATAATTTTACGAGTGGTAGTGTAGTTTACACGAACCAAGTAGGTATATTCTCCAAACTGACGTGATTAATTTCCGAGTGTATTGTAATTTGTAGTAGTTTACGTATATACATATTTTTAATTAGGTCGGATTTTCACAATTTCAACTAAGTATTGGTATGGATTAATTTATTGTCAATAGCAAATAAATTTCAAACTATCCGGCATCGTAATCATACAATACAGTACCCGATATTTGTACAGAACATACACAAGCACCATATATCACCATAATATTATATCAAAACTACAATATTGCCGTTCCCATAAGCTTGTCGCTTTGATTAAGTTTTTAAAACTATGCCGCTTGTTATGTTTTTACTACTTCGTGATAAATCCTCCGAGAAAACTTTTAAAAGTCATAATGGCATTCAACTATAATATTACGCGATTCATTAAACTTAAATACTTTTTACGACAATGAAGTTTTAACATTTATGTGACGTTGATTGATCCTCTACAGAAATTTGAACATTCCTTACAAAATTATATATATAATTATAATAATTATATATAACCTATGATAATAGATATAGCCTAAAAGCTGGTCGAAATTTAATAACCTAACCTAACGTTTGATAATATTTTAAAGGTAGATAATTAAAAGACAATCAGTTATTACAGAAATGTTGGAATATTGTTATTAATTAACATATCTATGAATTGATTTAACAAACCACGCGGAAATTTAACTTGTTATATATTATATTGGTAAATATAAAAGGCTGAAGGATTGTTTACATAATAACATTTCTCATCCAACTATTTAACGTATATTATATTATTATATATACTGTACATAATATATTATGTTTAGACGTAACTTCGTGGAAAGATGATTGAAATAAATACTTCGTAATTAAAATTAAATAGATGGTCCTTGTGGATTTTGTATATTTATACATACATACATAAACATAGACGTTTTAAATTATTGGGTGGGTCGTTGGCTATTATTACTCATTGATTCGTAAATGTATTTAATATAAATATTGGAGATGCTTTTGTATTTTGTAAACATTTCGTTCTGTATAGCAGCTATACAGCTGAAATATTATAAAACGTCGATTTTTTTTTTCTTTCTCTAATTCCATTTGTTATTTATTACAGGTTATATTGAACGCAACAATACGTTTATGGCAATGGTGATGTAAACATGGGGGAACGACAATACATAAGAAGTCACCGACACAGTTGGTGGCCACCGAGACCGCCATGGATAACTCTGATGTCGGTGTCATTATTAGTTAATTTGGCGTACACTTCGATAACCTGTGGCCCGGGTATTAAATCAGCTGGAGGTAAGAATACGAATTGCTTTTAAATATTAAGTTTTTAAATATCTTATTAAGTAATGGTTATATTATAACGCTATTAATTGCGATGCAAAAATATTACATTGCCTGACAAATTACGATGTCTTCGTCTACCTATATTCGCAATACTCTCAGCCATGAATGGTGATGCATAGGTAGGTACCTATAATAATTATTGTAGTGTCAGCTTCTCCACGCAACCTAATCAAATTAAACTCTTTATCAATAACGCTCCGGCTTATACAAAATCTATGAAAAATAAATATGAAAGTAAAAATTGTACTTTGATAATAATATATAGAACGCAATGGAATTCATATAAAATAAAATAGACTCAGACTTGAAATAAATTATATTTCAAATACATTTTTTTATAAAATAATTTAGTTATACAATTTATTATTAATCGTATAGTTGGAATTTTGGCAGTACACTTAGTCGCTAATATTGAAAATATTATGTTAAAAGTTACAATGTATTGTCCTACAGCATTCACTAATTAGTAAATATAACACAATATTTAATATCAAAATAAATGACTAATTAATTAAAATCACAACATTATAGATGTATACTACAAAATGTATAAAATAGCTGACTCCGACTAAATTCATATAATCTACAAATATTGAAACTGATATTTCTTACCTAATCACCTAGAGGTTATTTAGAAATTTGCTGTAATAACTTTAAAATGAACTCCAAAATCTTTTAATTATATATAATTTAATTTAGTACCTAAACTTAATTCGCTATGTGTAATTAAAATATATTATCCATAGTTTTTGTACATTTTAGTTGTACTTTTATGGTATTTTGTGTACAAAATACATACATGTGTATTTTAATTATTGAATACGGCACTGCATTAATTACAAATTATTCTCAATATTTTTTTATCAGTGCACCATTTAAACATAGTACCTCTTAATAAGAGAAAAGACAGCCGTTTTAATATTTCATTTTTGGTAATAAATCAATTATCTATTAATTTATTCAACCTTTAAGGAGATATGTATTTCTTTTTTATTCAGGGCAATCCAATATCAATTACTCACAAAAACTTTATAAATTTTAGTGTCTTCATTGATTTAAATTAATGATAAAAATAATAATATTGATTAACCGACACCAATAAAAAACCATTACCATAAAATATTGTAATAATAGTATTACTTTAGCTATATAATGTAAAAAAAACTATAAAATATCTGTATTAAATATAACTATAAATAAAAATATAACATTTTTTGATGTTGATATTGTGTAAATAGAGATACTGCAAACAAAATAAGCCTTTTATCAATATTATACAAAGTAAATATTATACAACATGTGATTTTTGTAACCAAATCCCTAGGGGAATGTAGTACTTCCTTAAAGGTGCATATTGAGATTTATCCGTACTATATTACTAGATAATAAGTAATATTTAATAACTAAAATAATATGACACAATGTTATTTTTTGTACAATATTTTAATTGTTATTAACTCAATACTAAATTTAAAATGGTAACATTAAAATAGTTTTAATTTTAATACTCGGATACGCGCCATCTTACTGATGGTTTGAGTTATTTTAGTTACCTTTAAAAATAAAAGTATCTAAAACTGTTTTAACGTCATCACTCATCATAATATTATTATAAACATAGTAATTGAGTATAAACTAGTATCTATAAAATATGTTTGCACAATTTATACTCGATGGTACTATATTATTATACGTCACATATTGCTTTAAATTTCATTTATTGACGATTAATTTCAACAAATTTTCACCTGTATTGTGATTTCAGATGATTTTCAGGTATCGAATCGGTTGTTTTATTATGTTTAGTTATTTTGTTTGTTTTACTATAGTGCTAATGCGCGAGAAAGATATGTTTTTCTTTTCTGTGCTTGCAAAAATGACTACGTCGTGTCCGACTATGACCGCATTGTAACCAGAACCTCAGATAAAAAAAAAAAAAAAAATATTGAAACCATTAGCTTTTGTAATTTATTGCAAACTGAAACATACTAATACGTTGTGCTTGACAACACCATTTAAACGCGACCAACTGGCTGGACCTAATGGCTTATTTTTACTACTTTGGCGTATGACACTAATTATTTATATTCTAATTTTAACACTACAATATTATTATTGTACATTATATTTTATAACGTTTCTGGCCTGCTGCGGACAGCATGATGAAGTTTTCTTTGTTTGAATTTTGGCGTGGTCGAATCGCTCGAATAATAAAAAAAAAATACCGTGGATATCACGAAATTGGAATAATTAGAAACGCCAATTTTGAAAACAGCGAAGAAGACTATTCGTCACTAAGTATGTCACTTGGGATGTGGTTGGTTTACAAGAGATTTTTTTTCCGATACTCTTCTTTCGTTCGAATATCGAGTGTGCTGGTCAGCATGCTCTGCTTGACACTCACCGTTCTACGAATTGAGAGCATTACTGCTGCGCGCTACAACGGCTTCGAGTGGTCTACATAATTTTAGCATTTATGATTAATGTATGGATAAATAAACGCAAAATATTAATGTTATTTGATTTGTCTATGTAAATTATTGCGAACGAGCTACAAAACTTATTTGGAAAACTATAGGTATACCTACATACAGGTACTAATTAAAATCGTACTGTACCTACTAATAGAACATCATAAATACATTTTGCAGTTAATCTCATATTAATTTACATAATTGTATAATTGTTGATTTAGTGTATTAATTTTTTATTTTGAATTATTATAGACGTAGGAAAAATGTTATATTGATATCACAATATTTATTATTATCCCGTTATTTACCTATAAACTATTGTTGCTTGTTATTTTATTGGTATATAATATGTATTATAGGAATTTTTGCGAAATTCTGTCATTTTTTATCGTTTTAATAATTTGAAAAAATCGCCAACCAAATGATTGGAGTAAGAGAGCATTTTAATTATTACGTAAACTGAGGACCAACAACAAGTGTTCCTAATAATTTTGCCAACGGTGATAAATTATAATTTTAATATATTGTAACCTATATATCAGGAAAAAAGTAACATTTTAAATTTGAAATATCATTAAAGATTATCAATTTTATAATTTTGCAATATTATTATGTAGAATAAAATATGTTATACATATACACCTATCGGGTGATACGACGAGTTGTAGCTGAAAAAAAATTTCTAAATACATTTTAAAAGTGTTTAAACTATAAAATCTTAATATTTTATTAAATTAGCAGTCGGGTATTCAATATAGAAAATTTCTATGTTATATTTCTATTTTTACATATTTCTATTAGAAATACGTATTATCTTGAAATTAATTTTAATATACATACTTACTATTAAGTATAATTATTTGCGATTGTTTTTTTTCTTAAATTAAGAAATAAATGTGTTTCTTCGTATGTATTTTGTAGGTATACGAGAAAAATTTGTAATTAAAAAATTTAATTTATATTTCCTGATTTAGTATATTTTGTTCGATTATCGACGAAACTAATTCAGATACTTATCTATTAAATGCGCCTATTCTAATGTAGTGTTGATGGTTTTAGTAACTGTTCCGAGAGGCGATATTGTCATTGAATATGGCACCGGCGTTCCCTTGGAAATCACGTGCGTTTTAGACCCTGATAATGAGAAAGTGCGAAACCTATTTCGGAATGACACTGCCGACGGTGGTAAAGCTATTACGCCGAGCCAGCGGATCGTCTTCTACAAGAACGCCGAACGCGTGTCCAGACAGTACATAACAATTATCAATTCAACAGCGACTCAATTGCTCATCTCCGATCCGCTGCCTGGTCGGGATACCTATTATTGCACGCTGTTACTTGACGAACAACCACGTCCTAGCTATGATAATGGCAGTGACGCACAGTTGTCTACGCAGTCTAGTGATTCTTCGTCGTTTCCCACCCAGCCACCGACGAGCTTAGAAACTAGTGGACCCCCTTCACTGGTATCGCAAGAATCTGAGGTCGGGGTGTGCCTCAACAGCGTTGCCGTTGGATGTAAGTTAACTATTTTTATTTGCGATTATGGTACTTGTTGTATTACAAGTAATAAATTAGTAATGAAAATCATCGAAAACCGTAAAAACTGTATAACTTGTATGTGTACACGTGTTTCATTGCAAAAATTATCTTCATTGTATTAATTTAAATTAAAATCCTCCCAACACGTTCTAAATATTTGAAAATTGCTCAGAATTAATATATATCTAATAATAATAAATTTGCCGATTATTAAAATAAACTTTCAGCTCATGATGAAAGATTGCAGTTCAAGTTTATTCTTTAAGTGCTACAGTAAATACAAGTATTTTACCGCGTTATCATAGTTGAAGTGCAATCGTTCAAACTTTTATTTTCTTATCGGTCTGATAAGTCGAGACTGTTGTGTCTTCTTTGATTGATTATTTAATTTTAATTATTTATCTTAATTTTAATTTTTACGAGTTAAGTGAATTATTAACGATTATTAACATTATTGATATAAGCTTAACACTTCGTTAATTTCAAGTACATGTTTTATTTTAAGAACTTTAAATATTTGTTGTATACACTAAGTATACAATGAAGTTATATCTTTTAAAATCAAGTATCTCATTCTTTTAATTTTAGTACTTGCGTAAATTATACATGTACCTACTACCTGTACAGAAATAAAAATTATTATAATTTTGTTTGATTTTTCACTATAAATATTGTTGTTTTTTTTAGTTAAGCCGGCTATGATTACAAATTTTTCTTGTATATCTAATAATTGGGTAAGTTTAACATGTAATTGGACCAAACCAGAAAACCCAATTAAAACATCATATAAGTTATTCTTCAGACTACCTGGTCGCGCTGGAGGCAGGTAATGTACAATAGTATAATTTATATACACGTGGTTAATAACTAAACTATATTTCTTTTATTATAAAATATTCTTTTTTTTTTTTTTTCAGAACTATTATAAATTGTCCTAAGGATTCAGATTCTAGAGAAAATACTTGTTATTGGGATTTCTCTACTACGCCAATATATAGACAACCGTACGAATATTATTATTTTACATTAATTGGTGACAACATATTGGGAAACTCAACTACAACTATTCGTTTTCATCATTACGCCAATGGTATATTACATTTACTGCTTACATTTTGTTTTACTATGAATTGCAAACGTGTTATAATTAGTTTTTATATTAAAATAATAACTTTACCGTATATATCTAGTAAAAAATAAATAAATGTTTTTATATTTGATTTAGTTATTCCCGCGAGCCCTATTAATATAACAGTGGTAGATAAAACTCAATCTAGTGCCATGCTAAGGTGGTCTGTAGGCACAATGACAGCCTTTCCACGAGAACTAATTCATAAGATTGAATATAAGTCTCAATGGGATTCCAATCCTGAACATTGGCATGTAAGTACTCACACATTTTCCAATAAAATTAACAATTATATTATGGTAACATTTGTTTTTCGCAGTCTGTAAATGTGAGTGACGTTTGTAATTCGTCATCAACGTCCAATCAAACCAATTCTTTTTCAAATTGTCGGGAACGTGATACAGACTATTATTATTTTAATGTAACTGATTTAAAATACCCGTTCACACATTACGATTTTCGCATATATGTACGTTCTTCAGTTGCTCGTGGGGAGGACAAATGGTCTCCTCCTGGCTGTATAACTTTGAAAACCAAGCCTTCAAGTAAGTTAATTTATGTATCTATATTGTTATAAGTATATTGCACTATATGTTAATAAATTCAATTAAATTTAAACATTTAAATAATATGTATTTATTTTTTTCAATAATATAATTTTATTAATATAATATTGAAATAATATCTCTACAGTTCCTAGAAGACCTCCTCGAACTGATGTAGGAAGCTTTGAGTGTGTAACGTCACCTGTCGATAAATCAAAAAGAGACATATTCATTTATTGGCAGAATATTGATGACAATGAGAAATGTGGTGAATCATTTGAGTATCGTGCTTACTATACTTCCACATCTGCTGATAACAAGACCATGTTAGTACTACTTTTCAATCTACTTATTTATTTTAATTTATTATTGAACTCATTTTTGAATTTAAACTTATTTCATAATACAGAATTCACCGCAGTAACGAAACATATAAGAATTATGCCAAGTTTGAAGGACTCAATACCGACATTGGGTACAATTTTACTGTGTATTCATCAAATAAAGAAGGTTTATCAACTGAGTATTCAACAATTTTTGTACCCAGCGAATCAGACAGTAAGTACACAAACGTAATTCAAAATTGTTTGGATAAGTCTTAATGTTGACTGTGTTATTAGAACTTGACGAACCGTTATCATTTACAAAAATGGCATTTGATGAACGAGGTGTATTTGAACTTTCATGGAAAAATGCTAGTAGTCAAAAATCATTAGCAGCCAATCAAGTTAATGATTATACTATATTTTGGTGTGAAAATGATAAGGACCGTCCATACCAGTGTAATGTATGTACAATTTAAATTAACATTACGTATATATATAGGAATATGTCACGCCATATTAGAATGTTATCTAATAATAATACATTTTATTTGTAATTTCTTTATATTACAGTTCTACTTTATTTTACGCTGCTATATATTATTTGTTGATATACCTACTAATATTACACTTTTTTTTATTTATTTAGTTTTGTTCCCACTTATATATATAAATTGATTTGCATTGATAATTACTACTATTAAGTTAAACTGAAACTTGTATTAATATTCTTTGTTATTCTTGCTAAATGGTTTTATTTAACCCGTTGATTTATAAAAACAAATAATCATAAAATAATAATTTTTAGTAAGCTGAACGTAAATAATCTAAGTACATTAACATATATTGTTTATTGACTTTAGTTAATTGAGTTAGTCAATATTAAGAGCATTGAGTAATAAGTTGATGGTAAACAAACGATATACCTATTTAACTCAAGAAGTAAAGTTAATATGGAAAAAAGTATTAAGAGGATGACAGTACACTATTTGTTTTCTTTGTAACTCACGTGTGACCTAGTGAATTGGTATTTAATTAAACTAATCTCGTGTTAACTTTAATATTAGAAATAATCGTAGGTACTAACTTTAAGATAAGAAAGTTATCTGTTTTTATATGTAAACTTTTTACAACAATTCAATTTTTATATGCGCAAGTTAGGAGTATGTAAAATATTATGGTTTAAAAATGCAAAAAACTTGAATTATCGTAAACATCCAACATACGGAAATAGATATAATGTTATTAACTTTAAGTTTTAAAATAAGTCAATTCACATAATTATTAATAAGCTTACAAGACAAGGCTGGTTCTCTTGAACGCAAATTTGCCATATTTCGCACAAGTCAAGGCGAAAAAACAAATAATGCCCTGACATTCTCTTAACTTAACTCAATTAAAAATAAGTTAATTATTATTATTATTATTTTTTGATTGCTACCCAAGTCACAAAAATTGATTTTTATATTTTTTTAAATAATACGAAATATGTTGTTAAAAATGCATTCTACTATACATTTACATTTGTGTATTGTATACTAGCAGCTAAAATGTTTTTGACGATTACTCGTTTTGATCAATCAATAATATTGATTTCTTCATTTTATTTTAAATTGTGTATAGTGTGATTAAATTAAACAATAAGATAATAATTGTTTTAACTTAAGCTATAAATATATATCAATATAATTCACACTTTATCTAGTTGAGTTAATAAGTAAAAAATAACTTTTTAACTATTTCCTATTAATGCCACATTCGATAATTTTATTGTAAAATAATTTTTAATAGTTTTGAAATATTCACTTAAAAGTTAAATATTTTCAAACACGTTAACAGAATTATTTTTATAAACTCCCTCTCACCCATCTAAAAAAAAAATTAAAACAAAATAATAATTACCTATACATTATGATTTTTATGTATAGGGTTATATGAACTGGATGCATATACCAAGTTCAGAATCTTGCTATAATATTACTGTATCAGATCATATGAAAATATATCAGTTTGCAATAAGTGCTAACAGTCAAAGCACATTAAAGACTGGTGTTACTAGTGTTTATCAACCCTCTTATACAAGTAGTGGGATGGTATGGGCATCATGTACAGTACTACATAATAAAAGTATAAACATTATTTATTCATTGAGTTTTTAATTTATAAATTTTAACACTGTATGAATACAATTTTTTTTTTTAATTAGTCGTCGGAAAAATAAAAAACGTCTGGGTAAATATGATTGGCTCGACATCTATGGAATTGAGATGGAAACTTGACTGCTCTGACAGAATAGGCGCAGTTCTAGGATTTCGTATATTTTACTGTCCTGTAGTATCCATAAATAATTCTGCGTGTAAAGGTAAGACATTATTATAATATTTAACTATCAAATTTAATACATATAAATAACATATTACGAATTCATAGAGTTATTTATAATATCTGTTCTAATTATGTATTATTAATCGGGAGCAAAAAAAAATTTACTGATGATTATTTATTGAATTAAATTTAAATTTTTACCTTTTTAAAAAAATTATTAACATAAAAAAGTTATATTATTACTTGATGAGTTGTGAAATTCATTATTATTTTCTTTGTGAATTTCATTTTAGAACCTATGTTAAATAAGACTGTTGGTGGTGAGATGTCACAAGATAGTAGAGGAATAGCAAGCATTACGGATCTCAAGTCGTATACTACATATATGGTTACCATTGCATTAATCACTAAACATGGCGAAGGGTTACATAGCGATCCTTTGCTCAACACCACTCTAGAAGGAGGTATATTTGCGTATTTGACATATTATTGATTCTAATTTAATTTTAGCTCTATCAAAATATTATTAATCATATTTGTTAATTAATGCCGTTTAATACTCAGCACCCGATATTCAAAATCTAACCATAAATGTCACGGGATTAACCAATACGACTGTCTCTCTTCAGTGGTCGCCTCCTAAATTCGCGAATGGTATTGTCCGTTACTACCATGTTCATTATTATTTGGACGATATATTACAGCAACAAGATTTGATTGATTCATTTGACGAACAACAAGTCATAAATGAACAACGTCGTATTACAGTTCATGACACAAAGGTTAGTATTTTAATGTTTATAAAAACATGTCTATATTAATATATATATTCTTAATAAAATTTTGATATGAAATCCAAAAAGGTATGTAATAATAATAATAATAATAAAATACAATTATTTTTAGTGTCGTCTGGATCACCTTGAAAGTTACAGAAGCTATACAATCACCATCACTGCATGCACAACAATTTGTTCAGAACGTTCACTTCCCATAAAAGTGCGAACAGCTGTAGGACGTGAGTTAAAAACTTTAAAATCATACCAATACGAGTCAATGTTATACTAACATATTATATTTATATATAGAACCAGGAAGGGTTCCTCAACCAACTTTAAACTACGAAAACAGCACTAGGGTAGCTGTGTCTTGGCTGAAACCTATGAAACCGGCTGGTCCAGTCGATTATTACGAATTAATTGTAGCACATCACAGTGGACCCACAAATTCACAAACTACAAATGGCGGTTTTTCTTCGCCTATCACTTTGGCTTCAACACAACTACAAGAAAATATGAACAATTTCTTTTACCGCAGCAATTGTAAATATCATTGTACTATATTTTAGATTTTTTATAGGATTTAATCGGTTTTTTTTTTTATTTTTACTCGCCTAGCAAACGTGTTCCGTGTGCCTGTTCCCGATTGTAATAATGAAGAAGAGAGAGGTCAACAAACGTTTTCATTTTCTGTACGAGCTGTGAACAACAATCCACTTGATCCTCATAGGCCATATTATGGTCAATGGTCAACTCCTGGATCGGTCAATTGTGTGTTGCCAGGTAATTTATTTTCAATGTAGAATTTTTTTAAATATATATACCAAATTTCCGTATGAGGATATTTAATGATTTAATAAAAATATGATGTGCGTATTATATAAAAACCAACATTTGAGCAAATATTAATTATTTGAACACTAGACTAAAAACTTTTATCAAGTTAAAAATAAATAATACCTAACATGTATATATTTCGAGTCATTGAAATTATAAAACTTAGAATAAATAAATCTTTATATTATTTTATAATTGAGAGTAGGTATCTGAATATAAGATTATAAAATATAAATGTTATTTTCAACGACGCGCCTATCAAAAACGTAATGTTGATTAATAAAATTTTATCCTGAACGTTAAATTAATTATATAAAATTTACAGTTAAGTTCCGGAAGCATTGATTAACTTAAAACGTCCATCATTAAATTTGAAAAATGAAATTACTTTTACTATTCCATTAATTTTTCCTTTTTGTTAATGTCTATAACTCGTATTTTGAACAATACAGATTGAGAAGACGTTAATGATTTTATAATTGTTTTTACTATTGGTAGCTCAGTAATTAATACCTAAATCTATTTTTTTTTTTTTTTTATTTTTTTTTTTTAAGCGTTTATTTTTATCTAACATTTTTAGATTTTAATGGGGACGATAAATGTATTGATTTTATGTTTTAGATGTTTTAATTTATTTGTTGTTTCTGAAGACTTTCTAGGTTAAAAGTTCAGGGATTTTATATAAATTGTTCGTATACCAATTGAAAACTATCAAAAATACATGGTCATAGTACTGTTAATTATAAACATTTAAAATTAAATTTTGACGAGATTCATAAAAATTGAAAAAAAAATTGCAAATCAAAAATTGTTATTAAAAATGTATACTTAAAATTTAAAAGTTTTATTCAAGATGGTCCCTCATAACAGTTGCTATTACTTGAAGAAAAACATGAAGTTATATAATATCATAATATTATACATAAGCGTTTAAAGCTTAAAATTAATAAAATTGGTTATTTACATATAAAATAACGATTTATTATTAAATTATTTTGTTTTTTATTAAAATTAAAAACAAATAATTGTAGATATACATACATGAAATAATTTTCAAAATATTTTAGCCGAGCATTTATCGATATTTGACAATGTAATAGGATATTATATATTAAATTTATCGATAAAATAAAAACCTTGAAATTGTAATATTTCTCATAAGTTATTATAACTATTTAAAAATATTAAAAATAAATAAGCATTTTTTATTATCATTTGAAGTTTAAATGTTCACAAAATCTGATAAATTTATCAAAATTTGCAAATTATTTTGTAGTTAAAAATTTATAAAAATATTAAATTATTAAAAGTAATGCTTGAAAATTGAATAAAGTTTTCCCCTTCTTACTTTATTAAAGTTCTTTTCTAACTAAAAATCTTAAAAATATATAAAAATGGTTTTTTTATGTTGGCATTTGAAGTTCCTATTTGGATTGAAATCAGATATTTATTTATTTTTTTTTTTTCTGAAGCTTTTAACGTAAATTATAATATTTTATACACATTACATTTTATAATGCAATATTTTGGGCAAAAAATTGTCTTACTAATAGTAAATTAAATTGAATTAATAGAAATATAATTATTAAATAGTAAAATATTAATTTACTTAATAATATAGGATAACATTATCACCACTAAGAATCTTTTTTTCGTATGTAATTATTTATCATTTAAATAAATTTTAGCACATTTTACAGTAATTTACTCTATGACAAACACCTATTGCACAGCATAGACGTTCCCTACTTTCTCCTTTTTATCTCTTTTATATATTTATATTTTATTATATTATACTATTAATATTGAAATTTTTTTTTTAAATTTTAACTCTTGTATATAGTTTTTAAATTTGATATTAATATTTTAGATTTTAATTTTAAAATATACATGAACATACATGAAGATAGTAATCTGATGCTTATGAATTGAAAATAATTTTCATTTTTTTTTTCTAATTGTACCTTTTTTAATCTGAAAAAATGTTGTAGATGTGTTTTACACGTTAAAAACAGTTGTTCTAATCATTATGGTTTTTAAATTAAATTTGCAAAAGTATAAAATTTTATAATAAATTATGTTAAAAAAAAAAAATTAATAGTAATAAATCAACCATCTAAAGTAGACTTAGCTTACAAGCCATACATTTCTTTGATAATGAAACTTTTTATGTTTATCATTATCTCGTTATATAATTAAATTCCTTTAAAACTAGTTACAACTTACAGTAACCTAACTTCGTGTTCTACTTAAAATAAAGTTCCATGTCTAATAAAAATAAATTTAATCATTTTTCTGGTTAGTAAGTAATAGTTATTATATATATGAATATCATAATTATTATATTATCAAATTAATTATAATTTAACCTAAAAATGCAATATCATATAATAAATAATAATATATAAAAATAATTACTTATAATATTTTGATAACATTTATATACGATTGGAATAGTATGTGCACCATAGTAGCATAATTATACAATAGCGACATCTTTAATAATAAGTGTACCAATTTTATTACTAGACGATTATTTATTTAATTTTATATATCTATAAATAGTCGCATATTGTTACGTGGGAAGAACGAAAAAGTTTTACGGGTTCTTGTGACTTATTTTTTATTTATATAATATAGGACATACGTGATGCGCTAATAAAAAAGTCGTATATTGTTTTAATTTTGTGAACTGTCCGCAAAATGATAGGGTCTGGGTCGTCGATCCGCAGATCTTTACTTCAGTGTATTTTTATAATAGAATCAACTTCGGTTAGCCAGTTTCCTGTACAAACTTGGGTTATTGCAAAAGTACTTATTTTTTTCCGGCTTTTGGCCTAGGGCTACTCAAAATATTGCCACTTAATTTAACGTTACGTTATTGGTGTATTTCCGACAGTAGGCCCTTTTTGTACTAAAAATGAACAAATATCACTGCGTGCAGTAAAATATACAATATTAATTTAAAACTACTCGCGAATTTATACTTGTATATTTCATAAACAAACATTTAAGCGCCTAATATTTGATTGATATAGAAAAAATAATATTGTATGTACGAATAATAAAAACATCTTATGTTGTTGGTCTTTGTATTCTCAATGTATATAATACATTTGCAAATTTATTTGATTTTGATTAATTCTTTAATTTCAGTTTTTGATAACATTAAATATTGACAAATAAAAAATCATTTTAAAGTTGTAAAATATCTTGACTTCAACCATGACTATTTAATTATATCATTTTTTTAAATTTAATTTCTTAAATTGCATTTCAAATTTTAATAAATAGATTTTTTTACATTTATTGTTAATCGAATGCGTTAATTATTCCATATTAACGCTCTTTCGGGTACGTTTATATGCATGTATAATAATTAATCATATTAATCGTATTAAAGTGCATTAAGTCCCAGTCCTCAATCATCTGCAGCCTCCATCAAACAGTTTTTACAACTAATTTTAAATTACCTTAGAAGTTATAGCTTGAAGACAATTAATTTGTTAGCTGTATTATTTTAAAGTACCCTGATAAAGGGTAGGTACTATTTTTCGCTATAGAGATATGTACATTTTTTCTTATTTATGTAAATATAAGCAACAATTATTCAAATTCTTTTAAGTAAGCAAAAAGTAAATACTGAGCCCGCAATACACTTATTACGTTAGTTATAAATATTAATACAACGAATTCCATGTGAGGTAAGCTATTATACTATTACAACGTGTATGTATAACTTCACTCGACGGTTGAGAAACAGATTCAACATTATAAAAATTTACAGTTTTAGAATTTAGAAGATTAAAATAAATTTGATTGTAGAATACACGATAAACAAAACAATAAAATAAACAAATAAGGAACAACCAAACAACATACATTCTTCAAACGTGTAATTATTTATAATGTATCTTGATATACTAAAATAAATCGAGTTAAATTGTATGTTATAAACTTACAATGTTTTAGTTTAGCAATTAAGTGGTGTAAAATATTACGCGTGTCTTTTTAATATTTTAAATATGTTTAAAAAAATCAAAATAATACTTTTTTCAAATATCTATAGAGCTATTACATTTTGTTGGATCGTGTCCAAAGCTGTATGTAAATAAATGTTAGGCTGTAGTCGGTGTAGGTATGTTTGCATAGTCGTTGCTTGCTTAGAATAAAATTGTTTGAACCACTAAATAATACTAAAGTTCATTAAAATAACATATTTTAAATTCTAAAAAGAAATATCTATTATTACTTTTCATAATAAAAGCAATTATTTGTGTTCTTTCCGGCCTATATATATATATATATAAAACGTATATAATTATATGTTTTAATTATCTACTAAATTATCAAAAAATAGAAATGTATAGATGAACACCAGCATAGCATACTCCACTTCGTAGATACTAAACTAAACATGCTCGAGTTGGAAATTAATTATTAACAATGATGACAAAATTATTGTATTTTTCAAAAATATTAATGGTAAATAAAATACTACTATAGTATATAATTATATTATAATATTATGATATTATCTAAAATCGAATAATGTTATTATTATTTTTGGGTATATAGGAAAACCTGTATACTGACCTTTGTTAAGACGGAATCCTGTTCTGTGCAGAAATTTATCATGGTCATGACAGATTTCTATAATTTAACATAGGACTAAACCCTTGATAAAACGGAACCTGTCTAACGTAAAATGGAAAGCTTTTGTGCGTATAATTAAACACAATCGTGTTTATGTAGGTACTTAAATATTTCCACTTATATGGAACATTTCAATATCATGTAGTATAATTCAGGATAAAATATTTTTAAGATATTTTTTGGATACAATTCACTAGTAAATAAATAGTCATTTACATTAATAAATAATAATACTTAACGCACACTAAAGCGTAATTTCCAAATGTATCTCGAAACAGAGACATAGTATGAGTAGCCGGTTTCTCAGATTATCATTTAATAATAAACATTAATTAATTAAACGCGTATTTAAATCGACCCTGAATAGTAGAGTGTGTACCTTACCTAAAAGTGGTGATATTGTTTCCTAATCACTTTCATTGTCGTATTGATTAATTAATATTGTATAATTTTAATTTTTTATAGTATATTTAACGTCCGTTAAAAATTAACTAATATCATAATATTTAAGCCTTAGATATAATAACATACTGATTTTAACTTTATTTTATTAACATACGTATATAATGTACCTAAAAAACTTCTTACATCCAACATTTTTTGTTTTTATTTTTATTTGCACTCATACCATCACACTACAATATTGTAAAACTTACATTCAACCGTTTTTTGTTTTTTTTTTATTTTTATTTGTACTCATATCATCGTATTACAGAATTGTAAAACAGATATTGTGTAGACCGATAATATTATTGTATCATAATATATCGACCAATTGTTTTTTATTTTATTATTTTTCTCTTTAACTTAATTATTATTGTTTTTCTTTAGGTCTTCCTCTAGCGCTTCATTTAGTCATATGGTCATGTTTGTTCATCGTTTTATCCACTGTTTCCACGTACTGGGGTAACAGGTAAATGTCACATTTCAAAACAATACTTTTATATTGTTTTCAATATCGTTTCACTTTAATGTTATTATAATGTATATTTATTTTTATTCATAAGACTCTGGAGAAAATACAAAGTTATGCATAACGTAGAAGTAGTTCTACCACCCACGTTGAATATCAATTTCAAATTTGTAAGTATTTATCTATATTATTTTTTGCGGTGAAACTTTCGTTAAATAACCTAAATAATATATCAAATTTTTTATTTGATTCTGTCGTGTGTTCTTAGAAAATGTATTACTTGTATCACATTCATTCTAAATAATGACTACAAAATCATTTTAAACTGCTTAAATTCATAAGTTAGAAAATAAGAAAATTTGTCAAGTTGGATACAGTTAACTGGGTCAACACAAATTTATATAGTTACTTATTTACTAACGGTATTGGAACGTTTTAAAAAGTATACCACAAAATTCATGTTTGTGGTTCGTCAAACATATTTTACTCAGTAAGATTTCAATTGCAATAATGGTTATGACAGTATATAGGTAATAATTATAATATTATACGGTCCCTGCAAATTACTGCCTTCGAAAACTTTTCATAGCATATCGCGACCACAAGCCAAACAATAAGGGCGGTAATACTTTATTATTATAGTTGTGCCAAAGCATAATAATATTTAAACAACGACAGCGATATAATTACCGTCATTTTACTTTCATAGTTACCTATGCGTTTCGACAACGCGCTTCGTTCGTACTACCCTCGTTCACTGATAGACATCGTAAAACGTATTGTGGTGAACTTCAACTCGCGCTCACCAACTTTATTTCTTTATACAGTTTTTTTAACTCTGTCAGTCGTCCCACGAAAGTTTGTCACCGCATTAAATTATTATCGTTATAGTTTTTTATTAATCACACGTCAATCTGCTACAGGATCATTTCAACAATTTTGACGAAAACGAATTGGACTCGGGTCAACACTATTATGTTGAGGACGGTCACATAATTTACGACAACGCTCCAACCGACGTTGACGCCGCCACCACTATCACGTTCTACAACGGAAATCCATCCGGGTCCAATCGTCGCAAAAACAGCAGCGTCAATGCCAGTTCTGAGCGTCTGCCGTCGTCCCGGTGGAGTCCCGCGACGGCTTCGACAACCATTACGGTGGCTGACGACGAAGACTCTTCTTCCAGCAAACACCAAGTGATTATAATATTATTGTTAAATATCACTCAGTCTTTTAATTGAATGCACTGGAAAATAAACCGTCGAATAGCCCTACGCTTAAACACTAATAATTGGCAAAATATGCTAATCTCTAAAAACAACCGCTTTAAAATGAAATTGTGATGAAATACCTACTTACAACAATTATTCTACAATATGTCGGTATAGAATATGCATAAGTAAATTACAGTAAAAAAATTATTATTATTTAATATTTTATAATAATCAATTATTTTGTCAGCGTTTAGTTAGGTTTAACATATCGTATTATTAAAACAAAAATAAATTATTTACATTAATTTAAATATTTATGTTATCAACTATATCCTTCTAGAAATAGAGTTAGCTCTGACGCATAGCCCTAGTTCAAAAAAGTTCGTCGTATATACATTAGTAAATTTAAATTTAATACACTCATTATCTATTCAATGATGAGGTACACTCGAAATGTACTATACGAGACAGATTGATTTTCCAAGATTTTTTTTATAACAAATGAATAATAATCGCAATTTTTTACGGATTTTGTTTGATAAAAAAATTATAAATACTTGATTATTATTTTCTAAACAACAGTTTTTGATAGATCAAGATGAATTATTTTGCATGATAATCGAATTATATGGTATAAATCTTACAGTTAAATGGTAGTAATGAGATAAGGCGGTAAGGCGGGGAAGATTTAGTTTTTCAACTATTTTCAATTGTGGAGAGGGTGTAAACGCAATAGAAAATCATTTTTTTTTTTTTTAAAACGGTCATTGATTCGCCCTTATTTTTTAATGTTTTTATTTATTAACTATTTACAGCTTATAACACCGTCGTCATCCTTGCCAAAAACGAAGAGCCAGAGTCTAAGCGACGGTAATAGCGTGAAAAGCGAAGAAGAAGAAGTTTTGGAGGTGGTTCCGCCCACGGAACCAGTCTTGCCGTTCTTTTCGTTACCGGACACGCCATCGATAATAACAACCGTTGCGAAGCCCGGCAATACAATGACGGCGCTGCACGGCAACATCGGCCGCAACAGTAGCATCGGCCGCAGCAGTAGCATCGGCCGCAGCAGTAACATCGGCTGCAACAGTAGCATCGGCCGCAGCGGTAACGGCTACCAGAGCACCAGCAACGGTTATCAGAGTAGCGATAAAGGCTACCAAAGTGGCAGTAAAGGTTACCAGAGCAGCAGTAAAGGTTACCAGAGCAGCGGTTACGGTTATCGAACCAATGGTAACGGTTACCAGGACAGCCGCATCTGCCAAGACATCGCGAAAAACCGATTGGTGGGCGACAGTCGCGGCGACGGTGTCGTTGCTCCCGCGGCGGTCATCAGTTGTTTTGTGGGCGACCAGCGGCAGTCAAATGATAAAGACCTCAGCCGGTGTGGAGGCGGTAACTCATCAACCGCTGCAGATAGTGGAAGGGAATTTGTATTTCCCCCCGTGGAATCTGTCACTGATGAAAACCGCTCACACCAAGAACAGGCGAGTGAATAATTTTCGCTATGTCTCTTGAAGGTAGCTCAATAAGTTATAATATTTCAATTGCAATTTTAACGCGTTGTCCCCCCCTCCCCCCTCACTCTTTACTATCACTAAGTGCGTACCATTTGAATGCCGTGCTTGAATGAGGAAAAAAATAATAAACTAATTTAATGAATAATAGCATAAAAGTAAAATATTCCAATTGATTGCGGGGAATAGCTAAATGTATCAATCAAGTATCTGCAGATTTATTTATTTTTATTTTTCAAATATATGTGAATATAGGTATATTGAGTGTTTTTATAGTAGTGGTTAAAATAGAGATACCAACACTGTTCGTTAGTTTCCTAATCAAGTTACCCTAACCTAACCAGATTTAACTGGAAAAAATGATATCGTAGCTAAAGAAAACGAAAAATATAGTAAAAAATGCTGTAACTATTACAAACAAAATGTAGTTTAAATTCTTTAAAAGTTTATCACTAAAGTTTTAACCGATGTTAAGTAATAAATGTATCTATTTATTAGTTCAAACAACTTAATAACATGGTATATTCCACGTACATATAATATTTATTAAGTATTTTTAAATTAACAAAAAAAAAAGTATTTATAACCATTTATGTTTAAAATTTTTTTTATAAATAGTTCTATGTTTGTTAAAAATAAACGAAAAGGAAAATGTTTGGTTTTTCAAAGTTTGGCAGGACTTTGTTAGTATTAAGATATTTCATTAAGAAATTCATATGTGCTTAAAAAAAATCGAGACTGAATTAAATTGAAAAGTGTTTATTAGGACTGTTCAATATGCACCTTTAGTAATTACTACTACAGGCTCTAACCGTTAACGATTGAAGTTCGAAGAGGACGCGAATCGTGAAGCTCTTCCATGACCGAGTTAATCTTAAAAAATGATAATAGAAATTCGATAAGACGAAATCGATGGCATGTATCAATGTCAAAGAATTTGTTGAATATAATTCGTAAAAATGTCTAGTATAAATATTATATAATGTTATAAAAATTCCTAGACTGGAATAGTGTTGCCGTTGATAATAATTGGCTGCTGTGTGTTATGTAATAATATTATGTATCAAATACAGTAATATAACAGTTACTTCCCGTTCGTTTTAAAAAATAAAATGAATCAGTGATTTTTATTTTATTGGATTATCATGATGATTTAGTCTTTAGGCGACACCGCGTTTTGTTCTGAGCACAAAGATCGTATTTACTAGATCACAGATCACTTCCATTTCATTCTAACATACTTTAAATTTTTCTATTTCAAAATTCGGTTACGTAGATCAAAAACCATAAGTAATGTCGATATAGATTATACTAGAGTTATTTACAATTTTAGTATCTTTTTAATACAATAATAATGATGCTGTAACAACTATTTACTGTTGATTATAAATATATAGGTACTTTTATAAACTATGAAGCTAGGCAATAGTTATTTTAAACAAAATTATTGATCAACATTTACCTAACCGAATTTTTTCAGGATAATATACGTACCTATTTTAACTTACTATATAATCACTTTTAATAATATTTTAATTTCTAATATATTGATCCCAGGGTCATAGCAATCACGCACGTCCGTGTGTTTCATTTTGGTACATGGCATGTCTATCAAGTACCCGCGTGCTTTTTGTTAGAAGGGGTACAAAAGTTATTTACAACCCATTATATAATGTGTAAATAAGACAGCTGGTACTTGAAAAAATTATACTTAATAATATGGATTACACCTACCGTCAGACAAACTATTAACAACTGTTTGAACTTGAGGAAAACATCATATTATTATCAACACTACTGTGCAATATTTTACTCTAATGTTGACTATAGTTAATAAACTTACTGTAGTGAGAATCTGCGATACGTAAACTTAATCGTGTTACGCGTGTAGAAGACAAGATACAACATGCATGCGAGTTCGACATCCTCTTTAACTATTATTTAAAAGGATGCCACACATATATGTTATCTCCGTCTTACATAGTTACATATACATACAACATAGCGAATTTTCGTTCAGCAGAATCCGTTTTTATGTTGTTACCTAGCTTTAATATTGAAGAATAAATTTACCTATTATCAAACTTTTAGGTAAGGATTCTATATCTAATAATATCTAGGGATCTAGGCCATCACATGCACTTTTATTAATATTATAATTTTAAAGTTTTAATATTTTACATAGATATAACTCGGCTTAAAATATTAAAATATTAATAAAAGCCTATGTGATGGCCTAGATAAAATTCTTAGATTTAAATTTGATAATAGGTAAATTTACTCTAACATTTCAGCTAACAACATAAAATGGATTCAGCTGAACGAAAATTTACTATAACGTATGTAGGTATATAAAACGGAGATAACACGTCATGCGGGTGTGGCGTACTCTCATAATAAATGTCATCCATTACACGTCTTGTCGTTTCAATCCTTTATTTAATGATCGCGGTGAAAGTTTAATTGATGCGTCGGCGACAATAGGGTATAAATATAAAGTTGATCGTACGACGCGAGGACCTATTATAATATATGTCGTAATATCCTTTGAGTTATTCATTACATCGAAATAGCGGGAATTAAGGGATGGGCACGTTACAAGTCTACGTGTACTCTACACGGTTTTTTTTTTCTTTGAATACAATCAATTCCCCTCCCCTTTATTCTGTACCACGGTGGATATGCCTCGCGAGTCCCAACGTCCGAAAAATGATTGGATTTTGATTTCACAGCCTTAAATTATTGTTTGTTTTTTCGATAACAGGAAAGTGAACTGTTACCTCGTCGCCTTGATGATAAACAACAACCGCCACTCAAACGGCTGCCACAACTACAACAAAACCGACACGACGGCTATTGCGACAAACAAATGATGATCGCAGTTGCCGATGCAGCCGCCGCCGCCGGTCCTGGTAGAGTCAAAGGCTGCGAAACGACATCACTAAGCCAACGACAGCAGCAACCGCTACCTCCGCTACCGTCAACGCCGTCGCCGCAAAAACTGCTACAATCGCCGCCCCCGCCGCCGCCCCCGTCGCCGGCGCAACACCAACCACATCAACAACCGACGGCGGCGACGCTTCTCGCCTCGAGCACCGCGTACGTCATGTTGGACATGGTGACCGCAGCGGCCGAGAAAAAACGACTACTCCACATGGGCGGCGGACGGGTCGACTACGGCAAGCCCGTCGTCGTCGTCAAACAGCCCCCCGTATTGGTGGACACGAGTTGCGGTACTTCCACTGCTCAAGTATAAAATAAATAATCGGTAGCAGTCTCTGTCTATAATATTATGATAATATATTACGTTTTTTATGTGGAATGAAAATAATTTTCGGTAAATAAGTTACAAATTATACTATATTGTCATACATTGCGAGGTGATTATTATGATATAATATAGTCATATAGCATAATGCAATGAAATTTAATGTAAAAAATAAAATTATAAATATATATATATATATATATATATATGTGTGTGTGTAAAAAAAAAACGACGTAAAAATTTACAGTTTCAAAAAAAATAAAAAATAAATTTCTACATCGAAGTGACCACATAGTATTATAATAATAATAATATCATGATAAATGACTGATACTAGCTCCTCCTTTCTGCTGTACATAATATATTATTATTATTATTTTTATAAAAATTTACCGTCGCCGCCCTAAGTGTACATAATATTACTGTTTACTATAGTTAATTGTAATAATCATAGGTTGGTGAATAAATAAATAATTAGATATGCACGCCTAACCACACATAAATTATGTGAAAAATGCTCAATCATTTTTTTAAAATGTAGTGTACGTTAGTAAATAGGTAATAATCAACAGACATCTATTAATATAATATAATTTGTTTGACAAATGCCGGGTCCGATTAGTGTTATTGTAAAACAGCGATCGGTTATAATAAAAAAATGTTGAATAAATCATGACGAAATTAATTGTGAAACACGTCCGAATTGATTGAACAATGTGTCAGTGTTTTTTTTTTTTTTTTTTTTTTTAATGTATTTTCATTAATACCTTAACGTCACTGGTCAAAGCACTTATAATATATACAATTTAATCATAGTCATAGTTGTTCCATACTTAAAAACTTTCAAAACTTATAATGATATACTATCCTCACACGCATAATTATATGTACTATATATGAGCGTGCGCAAATAATTACCTATCACCTATTTTTATTCTTATGGACGAGTAAATCATTTGTTATGTATAAAAATTGGTATTTGGTGGAGGGTCCCTAATTTTTATTCTACGTTAAGTTACATAGCGCTCAATTAATTGTGTTCAGTCAGCGGTATTAGTACTGTAGTAGTATACACAAGCACTAATAATTATATGAATTTAAATTTTAAATTATACGGGGTTTTTTTTTATTGTGAGATTTTATATAAGTCTGTTGTCAACGACGACTTTTGTTGGTCCAATCGTTTTTGACGAAAAGTGAGAGAAACGTATCAGTGTTTGTTACACATATACACATATATATAATGTGTTACTAAAGGTTTTCTTTTGTTTCGTACATTGAAGAATTGTGTAAATTTTTTTTATCTTTTAAAACTTACCTATTGTAATTTGTATTTCTTTAAATGATTATTGTTTTATAATAACATTATAATTTATTTTTATATTTATTTCTACGTATATAATATATATATATTTCTCTATTATTATTTTAAATAATTAGAATAGTACATTGTTTTTGTTTATACTTTATTATTTTATTATATTGTACTTGTATAATATACATGTAATATTTTCATGGTGCCATAAAGATTGATATTGAATTTAATATTGTCTATTATTTTTTTTTTTTCATTATTTATTTATTTTTTTTTTTTATGATTGTTAACTTAAGAAGATTTACAAATTAAGTCAATAACCTATAATTTAATTTAAACAAAAATTCTTTATGCAATGGTAAAATTTATAGCTAAGAATTTATATTTAATAAGTGTCGTAGTTTTAACAATATTGTTACATCTGGTCACGAAAAAGTTTTAAATGCAGTTAGCGCATTATTTTCTCTAATTGGTTCTTCCAAAGAGGATGTTCAAGGTGTATCTGGGGACATATGTATTTTTTGGCCACATGTAGTGTTATGTTACTTATTGAGAGAAGTTTGTTACATTGATCAAAAATTAGGGTTCATCATTGTTTTTTTATTTATACTTGTGTGAGGTTTGAATGGCCAATTATTTCTCTAGTCGTGATTATATAATTTGCTTGGCATCAAGTATGAAGTAATGGATGTTAGGTTTGGTTTATCAGTAAAGTTATTGGGTAATTTTATATAAATTACTTTTTACAGCATGAAGTTATGTTTTTGTGTATCTTTTGATGTCAGCTGATAACTTCATTAAACATAAGCAAAATGTTTTTCTAAATTTTTAACACAAAAAATAGGGCATACGAGAACTATTATATGGTGTGGAATAATGAGTATTATAAATTTCCGAATTATTGTTAGGAACGTTATTTATATTACCACTTACAAGAAATTGGGTATCATAAGAAGTGAACCTCGATCGGTAAATTTTCAGTGAAATGATAATTGGATAATATATTTGTTTATTTTTACTCAACATTTTTTGTCATGGAGAGTTTGGTAGAGAAATTTGAGTGGGTTACCAGTTATTTTCCATTTTAAGTATTAAGCACAATGACACCTTTTCTCCGGATTCATATCTCAGGCCTTATTATTGTTTTTATTATTATTTTTATTATTATTATTTATTTGTTTATTAATGATATGTAAATTGGAGTTATAATGTTTTATTATATTATTATTGCCATATTGATGTTTATATCCCAATTTTAAATATTAAAAGTGTTATATTTATGTATGTTGACACGTATATTATAGGTAATATGAAATAATCTTAATACCTTTAAACTGCATGACTGTAGTTTTTGCCACATATTAAATAAAAGATAAATATTACTGTTGTTTTGTATCATTCATTATTTGTAATAGGATTAATTAGTGAAACTTGGAATAATTTTTTTTTATTGATAATACCAAGTTATTATCGTCTTTAATATTTTTGTGAATGAACATGTTTCAATAAAATTATACGTTATTTAATAATAAATAAATGTATTCTTTTTTTTTAAACAAAATAATATTGTGTTCTACAATATTTGGCACGTTATCCAGGTAATTAATCTCTTTATTGTGATTATACCAGTTATAGAAAAGCTATAAAACAGGGGTGAAACTAACTCAATATGTATATATAATATATATGTGTGTGTAAAAACAATATTTTTAATTTCTTATCTTCAAATCAATAATAATAAAAAAAATACATTTCTTTAATATAATATTACAACTTTTATGTTTCGGTGATTATCTAAACTATAAAAAATATTAATAACATGTCATGCAGGTTGTACGTTTAATCATGCATATTATTATTTATTCTATATTATATATACCTTATATTATTATGCCTTTCATTTGTATTAAAAATTCATTAGAAATATTTTTATGAATAAATGATAGTAGTATGATTTAGATGGTTCTAGGGCCTAGCCCCTAGCCCATGCGAGTCAATGCCGCGCGCTGCCATTCCCCTCCATGCCGTGCTCGGCAATGCCCCTCCATGCCCTTCCCCTCCATACCTATCGCATATCTACCCCCCCCCCCCCGCATCCATTCCTATCCAGTCTCAGTCGTCTCGACAGATGACCGTACTTGACATTTTCTGTAACACCTTATTGATATAAGATAATATATTGATATACCTGTACGTTTTCCCATTTAACCAAAAATCATTAGGAAAATACAGTTTATTATGTGTAGGACATCACTTTCCATTCCAACATATGGTAAATAAATATTTATCATATGTTTTCTTAAGGTTTAGAAAGTTAGTTCGTGCAAGACCTAATTAGAAGCTATTATTTCAACAATTTAAATGTATCCCAAAATAATTGAAAATATTATCTGGATTAACCTTTTAACATGGTAAATTACTAGGTAATATTTTACCAATCCATGGTCTAAAATGCTGACATTACCGAAATGTATTAGAAATTAATAATCGCCAAATCCAGCATTTATTAATTATCGGTCAGTACGTCTCCAGTCGTATATTACACAGTACACACAAATGAAAATCATTCTGTCTTTTAATATTTATAGTGAAATTTATTTTCAAAATGTTTATTATTTTATTATATCAAACATTTGCTTGTTATATTTCTCTTTATTTTGTTTTCATTTTAAACATTATCAATATGTTTAAATGTATACAGTGCTCATCTGAATTTTCACGTAAAGACAATTTGGTTGCCCACCAAAAGAAACACAATGGTGTACGTTTTTCATGCACTATATGTGTTAAAACATTCAATGACAAGTCTCACTGTAATAGACATATAAAAAACGTTCACGGTATGTATAATTTAATTACTTTCAATAATCGATTTTTTTTGCAAATAATTAGTTACTTTATTTTAAAAGGCATTGCTGGTGCCCAACCTACTCAACAAAATCAAAATGTTCAACCAACTCAATCAAAATGTGATGGAAAAGCGATTACATCACAAATCATCGCTTCAAACACTCCAACGGTTGCATTAACCAACAGTCAAACTACACAAAATATGGGTTCATCAAATGAAGCATCCAACGATTTATACAATAACGATGGTGACAATCGTACAATAATCATGGACGAACTTGAGAACACCGACTTGGCTGATACTATACAAGGTTGGTTCAATTATAATATTATATACACAGCGTAGATTCATATAGTAGTAGCAGTAAGTTTATTTATATCTAAAATAATATGATGAAATAGATAGTTTTGTATACTACATACAAATCATTACAAAAATAATTAAAATTTATACACTTGTAATACGATTTTTAGAATTTCGATCAATGGTTATCTAAAATTATTAATTCTTTCCTAATATTTCAACTATATACTTTAAATAGTAGTATATTATATTGTAATTTACTTATTCAACTATTCAACATATATATATTTAATTTATTTGAAGTTAGGTAGATGATATACTACACAATATTAAAATGTTTAAAAAGATTTAGTGTTAGTATTAATATTATAGATAACATATAGGTTAATATTAGTTTTTTTTAATTTTTAAGATTTATATACAACCACAACTAATGACAAACGCATTTCCACCACTAATTCTACTTCGGCCGCTAAGGCGAAAAAAGCACGCATGAACCTAGTTCAGTCTCCAGGCTTCGTAGAAATCTCATCTTCAGCAAATCGAAAAATTATATGGTATTACAGCAAAAATACTAATAATGTTCAAAACTATCATACCTTTCTTCAATCGCTTAAAACCAACCTCATTCAGTTGTTAAAAACTCGCGTTCAAAATGATAATTCAATAAAATTCAATTTAAAACTAGAATCATCGTATAATCGACCGAACGTTGAAAATTCATCGGAAAATCGAGCATTTAAAACATCAGCCAAAGAAATTTATATGGATACAAAAATCGAAACAATAGTTGAAGAATCTTTTATGAAATTATTAGCCGAGGAAGACGCTTATGTTTCTCGCGGTAGCGGGTTTACATTACAGTCCATAGATGGTTTACTAATAGCCATTTATAAGTATACACCGATGTCTGGTTCATCGTATATACAATTACCGAAATCTATTATGAACAAACGCGCTATAATCAATCCTCAAAATATAGACCAGCAGTGCTTTAAATGGGCTATATTAGCGAGACACGTTGCAGGTGAAAATAAAAAAAAAAATCGTGTCAATGAAAATTATACCAAGCATGAGGAAAAATACATTTTCGGTGGTATTTCTTTTCCAACGCCACTGTCAGATATTTCCAAATTTGAAAAAAATAATCCAAACGTTTCCGTGAATGTTTACGGGCTTGAGAAAAAAATACAACCACCATTAAAACATCCCGTGCACTGTGTATTTCCTCTGAAAGTAGTTGATAATGAAAAACAAGATCATTTTGATTTACTACTGCTAACAGATGGGGATAACAGTCATTATACATATATATCAAATTTTTCAAGACTACTTCGCTCGCAAAAAACTAGACATGCAAATCAAGCAATATTTTGCAAAAGATGCTTTACATCATTTGACAAACAAAATTTAAAGTATAAATTAAGCGGACAGGCTGCGCTAGAACACCATAGGCTAATATGCGGGTCACATAAACCCATACTACCAGAAATGCCTGCAGAGGGGGCAGTTCTTGAATTTAACGCATGGCAAAATGCACAAAGGCATCCTATAGTTATATATGCCGATTTCGAAGCTCTGCTTGTAAAGACCGATGAGGAAAAAGGGGATAATACGATAATCATGCAGAAACACCGTCCTATGAGTTATGGATTTATAGTTAAGGCGTCTGAAAACGTGCCATTAGAGCTACTAAAACAATTCGGGATACCAACCGAACCCATAATTTACCGTGGTACCGAGAACAAGCAAGATGTCACAAAGCATTTATTTTATAGAGAGTATTGTTGATGTGAGTGAGAAAATAGAAAAATTGTTGGCAACAAATATACCCTTAACCATGACTGATGAAGATATAACCAGACACACAGCTTGTTTTAAATGCAATTTATGCACATGCGATGTAAATAACCTCACCCGTATTCGCGATCATGACCATCTGACCGGTAAATTTAGACAAACTTTATGTAATAGATGCAATTTAAGTCTAAAACAACCAAAATACGTGCCAGTTTTCCTACATAATCTTTCAAACTACGATGCGCATTTTATAGTGACAGAACTTGGTTATGATTCGCATAGAATAAAAGTAATTCCGAACAGCGAGGAAAAATTCGTTACTTTTTCAAAATACATAAGTAACAATTTTACCATCAGATTCGTGGATACATTCAGATTTATGGCTACAAGCTTATCAACTCTAGCCGCCAATCTAATATCACCAAATTTAGAAAAATTCCGCCTAACTGCAAAATATTTTACCAATAAAGATTTACCGCTTGTCACCCGTAAGGGTGTATATCCTTATGACTTCACGGATGATTGGGCTAAGCTTGAACAATTAACTTTACCTGCAATAGAGGACTTTTATAGCACCTTAACAGAAGAACACATAAAAGATACCGAATATCAGTTTGCTAAAGACGTATGGAGTCATTTCAATTGTAAAACGCTGGGCGAGTATTCGGATCTATACTTGAAAATTGATGTCTTACTTTTGGCGGATGTATTTGAAAATTTCCGAGACTTATGCTTGAACACTTACAATTTGGATCCAGCATACTATTTTACAGCACCAGGGTTTTCTTTCGATGCAATGTTGAAACACACAGCAATAAAACTGGAATTACTGTCGGATTACGAAATGCTGTTAATGTTTGAAAATGGTTAGTATATTGAAATTATTTTTTTTTATTTCAACACTTATATAATATGATTAAACTTTTATAGGTATTCGAGGAGGACTTACACAGGCCACTATGCGGTACGCGAAACCTAACAATGAGAGAACACCTGATTATAACCCGACAGACCCAAAGTCATGGCTTGTCTATCAGGATTGTATGTTGTGTATTATTATTATTATTATTATTATTAATTTAATACTTTTAAAACTTTATAGGCAACAATCTTTATGGTTGGGCAATGTCGCAGTTCATGCCCTACGGAGGCTTCAAGTGGGTTAAACCGTCTCTCGACGGATTAGCTGATTTGAACGCAACATCGCCTATAGGACGGATCTATGAAGTCGATATAGCTTATCCGGAAGAACTGCATGATAAACATAATGACTTACCATTTTTACCGCAAAACAGTATACCGTCAGGTTCAAAAGTGCGAAAACTCATGGCAACATTTGAACCGAAAAAAAATTATATTGTTCACTATCGCAACCTCCAGCAAGCCTTAAACAATGGTCTCATAGTTGAAAAAGTAAATATTATATTTCATTTCTTTATTATAGAATTATTAAAGTAAACATTTATATTTATTATAGGTGCATAGAGTTGTCCAGTTTAAACAATCACCATGGCTCGCATCATACATTGCTTTGAATACTGAAATGAGGAAGAAGGCGAAAAATACATTTGAGCGGGATTTCTTTAAACTACTAAACAATGCTGTATTCGGTATGTTATTATAAATAATAATAGTTATGATTATTTATCATACGCTTTTCATGTAGGAAAAACGATGGAGAACGTTCGCCAACGCATGGAGATGAAACTTGTATCGTGTGATCGACGTTTACAGAAATTAATAAACAAATCGACTTTTAAACACTGCACTACGTATTCTGAAAACCTAAATGCCGTATCATTGGAAAATAAAATCATCCATTTTTGCAAACCTATTTATATTGGTAATTTTTCTATTAATAATTTAGATATATAGAGGTATTATCGTGATTGTTAATGTATATAGGTCTCGCGGTTCTCGACATAAGCAAAAGTTTAATGTATGATTACCATTACAATGTGATGCAAAAACATTATGGAGATAAAATTGAGCTCATGTATACAGATACAGGTATTATTTTTAATACTTATAATTCAATATATATATATATATATAGTAATAATTTACATAATTTATAGATTCATTAGTATATTATATCCAAACCAACGATTTCTATGAAGACCTCAAGAATAATGACAACTTATTCGAACGAATGGATACTTCCAACTTACCGGAAGACCATCCATGTTTTATTTCGGAGAGAAAAAAGATACCGGGTCTGTTTTCCGATGAAACAGATGGGCTCATAATGACCGAGTTTTGTGCGCTGCGAGCAAAATCATATGCTTACATTTTGGACGGTAGGGAGAAAATCAAGGCCAAGGGAATTAGAAGGCATGTTGTAAAGAATCATATGACGTTTAACGATCATAAAAAGTGTTTATTTGGTGAGGAGGAGGAGATGGATGTTAGGAGAGAAAATGTATCCATCCGTTCTTTCAAACATCGACTGATGACGATAAAATCAAACAAATTAACGTTCAATAACTTTGATGACAAGAGAGTTATCCTAGAAGACAAAATCCATACTTTGGCTCATGGACATAACTTAACAAAGTAAATTTAATATATATATATATATAATTTATTATATTGATTATACATAAAATAAATATAATATATAATATATAATAAAAATAAAATATAATATAATACATATTATACAATAATTACATAGTTTGGTAAAAATACTTTTAATAGATTTGCCTAATAGTAATTTATAAAATGAAATGAAATATATATAACAACAATTATTCTTGTATCGTATTAAACGCTCGAATATTATATCAGATGAGCACTGTGTTCATATTGATAATGTTTAAAATGAAACCGAAATAAAGAAAAATATAGCAAGTAAATATTTGATATAATAAAATAATAAACACTTTGAAAATAAATTTCACTATAAATATTAAAAGATAGAATGATATTTATTTGTGTACTGTATAGTATACGATTGGAGACGTGCTGACTGATTATTGATAATTGCAGTATTAGACGGCTATTGTTTTCTAATATATTCGGGTGATGGTAGAATTTCAGGCAATAATATGATGCCTATAGTTAATAATATTTTCTTCAATACGTTATGTATTATAAATGTATATAAACCATTATAATATCTAATAGCTGTTATAAGTTATACACATATAGTCTTATTATTTTTCATTTCGATAGAATAATATAATTGAATATCAATATATCATAGCGACACCTGTATGACTTTGACGGTGAATTTCGATTTGTGATATATTTTAGCAGTGGTGACATTTTAAGCTATAGATTGCTAAAATATTATTTAATAATTTACTTTGCTAACAAACATCATGTTAATATTAATATAATTTCCCTATATTGCTCATTATATTATTGTTAATGGCTATGTCCTTTAAATATCACACTATATTATATTTTATTTTAGAATACATAGATGATCGTGATATAAAAGGTTCAACTGAAAACATATTTAATGTTGGAAATTTGGGTATAAAATGACAAATCAGTAGTTGTATATCCCACAGTATACTTCACTAATATATTGCACTAGTAAGACCTACCAAGGCAGACTTACAGTTAATATATATAGATATAGATATTACAAATGGTGAAGAGGCGAGCAGAAAACAAGATGGAAACTGAACACGGCGCTGATAAAAGATCGAAGAGGCAATCTGGGGAAAAGTCTGACATGGTAACTACGGAATATAATATACGACTATGATGTAATCAATATAATATTTTATCGAGATGTCTTAAAAACAAAATTATTATTCTTACGAAAACAGTTTATTAATTACGGGGTTCAATATATAAATTATATACATCCTTTAACACAATTAAAATTATCGACTGAGCATATTAAAGAATTTAAACCTAATTAAAATTATCGATTGTTACATTTATATAATTCAAATATGTTAATCGAAATTCAAAGATTATTACATCTGAATAAAAGTAAGGCATTTAAATTTTGTAAAACGTTAGTGACTTCATCATTAACTATGTTATGCGATATTAATTTAATTGAAAATTTGATTGATAATAATTTTCAAGAAAAAGCTCGTATATATGGGGTTATTAATCGATGTACATGTTGTTCATTTTATCATGATATCGTTTATACCGAAAATTCTGTAAAAGATTTAAAATGGCGTTATCCATTGCTAACTATACAACAATGTGAACAAATTATTAATAACTGTTTAATTAAAAAAATATTTCTCCACTATATAAGATAATTTAGATTTTGAAGATAGTAGAAAAATATTTAATAATTTTAAACATTGTTAATATTTTTAGTGTTATAGAATATACCTTAAGATTTTACGATTATATAATAAGTTTTATAGAAATTGTTATAAATAAAATAGTTGTAATAAATGTATACACATTTCTTTAATAAAGTATTATTGTTTGTACACTTCGATAATATAATAAATATATTTTTCCACTTCAGTTTACGTTATATTATTTCATTTAAGTATATATTTTATATTATAATATTAACTCTATATATTATATATCAAAACATATTATTATATGTATAATTAAAATATTAGAAAACTTATTCCATCATGTTAATATTAATATAATTTCCCTATATCGCTCATTATATTATTGTTAATGGTTAGGCCATTTAAATATCACACTATATTATATTTTATTTTAGAATACATAGATGATTATGATTTAATAGTTATACATTTACCTAATAGTGTAAGGTGAAAGAGAAAATTCATAATAATAATAATAATCAGAGGTCGTCAATGTTTCAGCAGCTATTAAAGGTTAATTAAAAGTAAAACACTCACTTTTCATAATAACATTTTCAAGAGTTTTAACCTGTGGTAAACATTATATCGATGAATAGTATAATATTCATTTATTACCTAATTAAATATATTTTCTCTGGGCATATATTATTATCTTTAATTTCGTATATTATACAACTCTTTGAGATGAAAGGAGTATGAAGAACAGTATGATTCCTGGTGAAATCAGTCTCATATATTACTTAATTACACCACATCCAACTATAAACATATGAGTAAATATTTATTTACCATATGTTGGAATGGAAAGTGATGTCCTACACATAATAAACTGTATTTTCTAATGATTTTTGTTAATGGGAAAACGTACAGGTATCAATATATTATCTTATATCAATAGGTGTTACAGAAAATGTCAAGTACGGTCATCTGTCGAGACGACCTGACTGGATAGGAGTGCGGGGGTAGATATGCGATGGGCATGGAGGGCATTGCCGAAGCTTGACAGGCTGGAGGGAATAGACGCGCGCGACATTGACTCGCATGGCTAGGGCTAGCTAGAACCATCTAAACATTACTACTATCATTTATTCGCCAAAACACCATTTCTAATGAATTTTAATACAAATGAAGGCATAATATATAAGGTATATATATCAAATAGGTTCATCTATTTCAAACTAAAAAAATAAAGTTAATTTTCAGTATAAATCGTACGACATAACTCTTAATATGCATAAAATTATTACAAAATTTAGTAGGTGGTACGTCCGTACTACTTGCAATTTTTAAAATTATTGTGAATACCGGACACTACCAATATTTGATGTGAATGAGTGATATCCGTGTGTCATTTTGTCGTTCGAAAAATATAAGGTAAAATTTTAAAATAGTAATTAAATTAGATACTGGATAAAAGTATAGATGTATCATGACTCTCGTGGCCATATACGATTGGGAAATCGATGCGTTCCATTATTATATATTTACAACTAAATACTTACACAACAATAATATGGCATAATATTTTCCGTTGTGGAAATATTTATTAAATAAGTAAAATTTACAGACAAACACAATAAACATTAATTATACAAATGTCACATACGTACATAATATACAATTTACTGACATACGGAACAAAATGTTACACGAAGCGCAATGTATTGAACCTGACAGCGTACTGACGTCTGACGATTGTGTTATTGGATAACTGTAGTAGGTAGGGTAATATGCTTTATTTATTAGACACTATAAACAGTAAGTCTTGAATCGATATTATTTTCTAACTAAAAATATTTAATGTTACAACAAAATCAAAATTAAATGTACACAAGAATATGATAAATTATTATTTTATGTAAGTAAACTTATTTATTTACTAACAAGTAACAATCTGCAGGCGATGAGTTTTTGTATAAGTTTACTTCCGGTACCGTAGTGAAAATAGTCAACACTATAATATCACTTCAGGACCATCAGATTTATACTCGTAATTCCATAATATTATTTTCATATTCTGATTTGACAATATATATATAATATAATATACATAGATATTTTTTTATCACGTTAAGTATTAAAACCAAGAATAAAATAACTTTAATTTTTTTATTTTTTAAAGAGAGAATAAAATTGTGTACACCTATGAAATCCATTTCCTGGTATTATACTTACTAATTAACTATATGCAGTGCCATACCAAGAGTAGAGCAAACGGAGCACTCGTGCGTATATACAATAATATAATATATCTTGTAAATAAAAATTATTTCCAAACATTTTAGTAACGACTTAGAATTTAAATATGTTTCAGATAATATCAATTTTTGCAAAATAAAAAAAAATAAAACTTTACCACAAACTGGCTGTTCTTCGAATAATATAACAAAAAGCATCATTAAATTTTGAATAACTAATGCCTAAAAGGTACTGATATTATTAAAATACTATAAAAGTATTTTTTAAATTTCGTAGCAATTTAGATAATCCCTCCATAATTGTTTACAGGTAAATAACGTATACATTTTTTGATAACAAAAGAAGTTTATTAGATCAAGTACGTAAACATTTCCATAATGAGCAGGCGGTATTCGAGTACTCATAAAAAATTAAGAACCGCTTTATAATGTATCTATAGATTTCGATATTATATTATAAATCTGAGGACCTCAAATTCTAATGATCGAAAAAAATGTTATTTTAAAATAATGATTATTATTAATTATTAATTATTATTTATTCATTTTGTACACAAAATAGGTAACAATTTGTTTAAAGAAGTAAATTAACAAATAAATTCAAATTTGAGTTGACAATTAATTATATTAATTTTGCAATATCAAAGGACTGGAGTAAGTAATTTGGATTACCTATACAACACGCTTTAAAAAAAGCTTAAAATAAAAAAAATGAGTTTAAATACCTACACAAAATTAACGTAATATTTGTAAAAATGCAATGAAATTCATTTAACAGGAAAAAAAACACATTCTAAATTGTTATATAAAACTGTATAGGACTTAAAGAAAAAAAATGTAAAAGTCATCAATATCTTAGCTCTATGAATAACACACGAGTACCTATATTAAACACACCTACACGGGAGCGCCAACATGAATATATATTGTTCGCGAGTCACGTGGATAAAACGATACCAAAAAAAAATAATATTAATTCATAATAATAATAAATAAATTTTGATTTTATAAATAAGACACGAGCTACATCTAAAATAACAAGAACTGCAAAATGGCCAACCTAATAGAGTATAGGTACCTACTATAGATAGACAACGCTAATGCAATCATTTAAGGCTTATTATTTTAATTTTAATTCAGCTCATTAAAGTAACGCATTAATGTGTCTTCGGGAGGAAGTGTAAAATAAGATAAGTATCATACAACACTAGTCAGCAGAAAAAAATTTAAATAATGATCAATAAATGATTATATCATCGTTGTATATCTTCGTATATGGTGTTATTTAATCTAGCTTTTAAATAATAACTTATAGCCTATAGGTATGATATATCGTATATGTATTCAAATTCGATTTATAAAAAAAGAAATTTGTATCTCCAATAGGTACATAAATATGGCTGCTAATTTACGTAACTAGATTAAATGGAAAAACAAAACGCTATACACATACTATAAAGTCTAAATATTGTATTGTAAAAAAGTCCGGTGCACATAAATATTTTTATCGGTGATTTTTTTTTTTTTTTTATAATAAATAATAATTAATTTTTTTCCAGGACTTTTTTTCGGATATTTTTATTACAATTCAATAAAAGCATGCCAATCGAATTCCAATTGAGTGGACCAAAATCAATTATGAAAATAGATTTTAATTCTTGATAAAATCTTTTTTTTATCGTTCATCACTTTTTTTCATTAAAATCATAACTGCATTAAAAGTTATTTATTACAACAGCATATTTTGGTTCCATTTATTCTTGGGCAACGCTAAGTACCTAATATACCTAATATATATTATGTAAAAATATAGGGATGATAATAAGCAGCTATAGTCACTATAGTGAGTAATGGGCTGTGATGAAATTTTGGTTGGTAGCATATGATTGGATCATAAGTTAAAAACTAATATAACATTCATGTATTATGGAAAACGATAAAAAAAAAAACACCAGAAGAAAACTTAATTGTAGTTTAACTGATATACAATTTTCTAGATACGATTTGAATAATATTATTGAAATACCAATTCATTCTGGTGTTTCATCTGAGACTAAAATGAACACACATTTTATAATAAGTGCGATCAAAAGCCTGGTGATAAAAGTAAAAATGATAAACTTTTCTTTTAAATTTCAATAAAATATCATACTCAGTATAGTTATGACATTTTTAGATTTTGAGCTGAACGATTAATGTATTGATTTTAAAATGAGGTGTGTGTTTTTTTTTTGTGTATGTGTAGTATGTACACGATAACTAGTCGATAAAATATTTTGACTATTAACTTTAATGGT